TCATTCTACTATGGCAGTTCGGGTTCCCAACCTTTCAGGAACTTCACCATCCTAGTCAGTTCAGAGCACTACCACCGATCCTCCTCTGGGACGACAACGCGGACGGTGTGACCATTGAGGAAAAATTGGTCACATCAAATCTCATTGTTATGCTCTACATGGATGCCCACCGCAACAGAAACAACAGCCTCGATCCTCTGCACATTCTGTTACACAACTAGTCTTGTTGTCAACCCCTGACAACCCTGCCTCTACATCTTCTGCCACAGTTACCTTGACTCAACCTGATGTGGACAAGTTCAAGCAATTCTTCAACCAAATGGAGGCATTATCTCAACCAACCTCCACTTATGCCCACTCAGGTACTATTACGTCTGCACATAGCGTATTTACAACTTCAACACCATGGATCATTGATTCTTGTGCTTCAGACAATATGACTGTTATGTCCTCACTCTTCCAATCTTATAGTATCTGCTCTGGCCAGCGCAAGGTCCACCTTGCGGATTGCTCTCCATCTTCCATTGCTGGGAAGGGTCACATATTAGTTACTTCTTCATTAACTTTGTCAGATACACTTCATGTTCCAAAGTTGACTACAAATCTTATTTCTGTTAGTAGCGTTACCAAACAATTAAATTGTATTGTAACGTTCTTTCCCTCATTGTATTTTTCAGGATCTGGTGTCGAAACGGACGATTGGCAGTGGGCGTGAAGTGGACGGTTTATACTTGTTGGATGCTCCTTTGTCACCTCAAGCACATTCAGCTTCATTTTCTAATATTGTTTCATCTAATAAAGCCCAGCTTATGCGTTGCCACATGCGTTTAGGACATATTTCTTTCGGTTATTTGAAACATTTATTTCCTTACTTATTTTGTAACGTGGCAGTGTCAGATTTATCCTGTAAGACATGTCATATGGCTAAACATGTTCGTTCCAATTATCCTGTTAGTAGTTATAAATCTGCTTTAACACCTTTTGATCTCGTTCATTCAGATGTGTGGGGTCCTTGCCCATTTACTTCTAGCCTTGGATTTTGATATTTCGTGTTGTTCATTGATGATCATACTCGTGTTCCTTGGGTTTATCTTATGAAAACCAAAAATAAGGTATACACCATTTTTAAAAATTTTATGGCAATGATTCAGACTCAATATGGTCGTACCATTAAAAAATTTAGATCTAACTAGGGTACAGAGTGCACTTATGGGGAGGTACAATGGTTATGTACATAATTTCGGATTGAGCATCAGATGGCTAATGTTTAAACTCCTCAATAGAATGGTCGTTCTGAGAGAAAGAATCTCCACATCCTTGACTTAGCCAAAGCAATCTGCATTGGCATGAATGTTCCCCAGTCATTTTGGGGAGACGCAGTTCTTACATCTGTTTACATCATTAATAGGACTCCTTCTAGGATTCTTAACTTTGCAGCCCCACTCTCAATCTTACATCCCAATTCATCTCTTTTTTGATTCCTCCGCGAGTCTTCGGGTGTGTGTGCTTTGTTCAGCAATTGGGGTAAACTTGTACAAAGCTTGACCCCAAGGCCTTGAAGTGTGTGTTTTTGGGCTATTCTCACTCTCAAAAAGGTTATAGGTGTTACAATCCTCCCAATCGTCGGCAATTTATATCCATGGATGTTTCTTTCTTTGAGCATACACCATACTATAGTGGTTCAGTTGGTTCTCAAAGTGAATGGTTCCCATTGAATATAATAGATGATCACCTTCTTCCGTCTTCAACTCCTCTACCTTTACATGTTTCTTCTTCTATGATTCCTCCTCGTGATACCCCTCCAGTAGGGGGAATGTTCCTTTTTCACAGGTTGATAGTCGGAGACAACAGGTACAAGCTTTTACTCCCATGATCGACTGCCCTATTCCTTCGGCAGCAGCTCTGCCTTCTCGAGTTATTGTTTCGCTTGATGATCGCCCCATTGCTCTTCGGAAGGGTAAACATTCTTGTGCATACCCTATTTCTAATTTTGTTTCTGATTATGCTATCTCACCCTCCTATCGGAGTTTTCTTGTTTATGTTGCCTCGGTTCTTCTTCTTTCTAGTGTCGTAGATGCACTAGCACAACCTCAATGGCGTGATGCTATGACAGAAGAACTACAAGCACTTGAGAAAAATCAGACTTGGGACATGGTTCCGCTTCCTATTGGACGAAAGGTTGTGGGTTGTCGTTGGGTGTTTACAATTAAGTATAATCCAGATGGGTCAGTTGCTCGTTACAAGGCTTGATTGGTTGCCAAGGGTTATGGTCAGACTTATGGCATAGATTATCAAGAGACTTTTGCCCCTATTGCCAAGATGAATACCATCCGTGTATTATTTTTCGTTGCTGCAATTCGATCTTGGCCTATATTTCAGTTAGATGCCAAGAATGCCTTTCTCAGTGGTGATTTGCAGAAGGAGGTGTATATGGTTCCTCCTCTGGGCTTTCGTTCTCCTGCTCATTCTGGTATGGTATGTCGTCTTCGTCGTTCTCTGTATGGCCTCAAGTAGTCTCCTCAAGCTTGGTTTGATCGCTTTGGCACTGCTATGCTCAAGTTTGGTTTCCATAAAAGTGCAGCTGATCATATCTTGTTTTTACGTCATTCAGGCGGTAAGACAGTTACTCTCATTGTGTATGTCGATGATATTGTTCTTACAGGCGATGATACTACCGGAATTGATGAGGTTCAGAGCTATCTTGGCCGTTAGTTTGAGATTAAGGATCTTGGTCCCCTACGGTACTTCTTGGGCATTGAGGTGGCTCGCTCCAAGATTGACATTTTCATCTCTCAATGCAAGTATGTTCTTGACTTGATTTTTGCTTCTGGTCAGCTTGGCGCTCGTCCTGCTGATACTCTGATTGAGCAGAATCATCGGTCAGTATCAACGACTTGTGGGAAAGCTCATCTATTTATCCATGAATCGACCTTACATTGCTTATGCCGTGAGTGTCGTGAGTCAATTCATGCACTCTCCTCGTACCCCTCACCATGATGCAGCTATTCGGATCCTTCGCTACTTAAAAGGGTGTCCAGGCCGTGGTATTTTGTTTGCCAATCATGGTCACTTACATGTTGAGGCATGGACAGATGCTGATTATGCAAGATCAATTTCAGATAGGAGGTCAACTTTGGGTTATTGTACTACTATTGGTGGTAACTTGGTTACTAGGCGCAGTAAGAAGTAGGATGTTATCTCTCGATCTAGTGTAGAGGCAGAGTATAGGGCTATGGCTCTTGGGGTAGGTGAGTTGCTATGGCTGAAAACCTTGATGACAGACTTGTGCCTTCCAGTGTCGCTTCCATTCTCACTTTACTGCGACAACAAGTCTACCATTAGGATAGCAGCAAATCCCGTTCAACATGACAGGACTAAGCATATAGAGGTGGACTGTCACTTCATTCGAGAGAAGATCATCTCTGGCCAAATTTGCACTCCATTTGTCACAAGCTTTCAACAGCTTGCAGACATTCTTACAAAGGGCATCAGCAAGATTGTGTTTGAGAATGTATTGTCTAAGTTGGACGTTTCAGATATCCACGCACCAACTTGAGAGGGAGTGTTAGCATATATGATACCACGATTTATGGCATGACTTACCATAATAGCAGAGATTTGACTATGTATATGTTAGCATATATGATAGCCACTATTTATGGAATGACTTACCATAATAGGAGAGATTTGACTATGCTATAGAATATGCCATAGAATATGCTTTAGAATAAGTTGTGATTTGATTTAGATTTGATTTAGTTTCCTTTCTTATAATATGAGCATGTGCTCATTTTATCTATAAATATTAGAGCTGTGAATGAGTAATTAAAATAATTCAAGCATTTACGCAATTCTCTTCTTTGTCTTCTTTTTATATTTCTACTGTTTCCAAGCTTCTTAGTATGCAATTATGCTATGGATGTGTTTTTTCCAAAACCTACGTTGGACATAGCTTATCAATGTCTTGCTTCTCTTACTCATGATTGAAGAGGGAATTTGAATTTTGATTTGATGTGGTTCCCTAAATCTTCTGAAATATGCATAAAAGTGTCTTTGGAAATTTCCTTTTCTGAAGTTTTCCCCGTTTTAACATTGCAGTTGATTTCGATCGATCAAGCTATCAATCAAGAGCCACTAGAGTTGCATCGATCTATCGACTAACTCTTTGGTCAATCTAACCCTAAGGATATTCAGTTTCCTTTTTGAATTAAATACCAACCCTATTCTTTCTGCACTTCTATTTTTCCAATAAGTATACCATGCTACGGCAAAATACAACACAACTTCTATATCTAAAATACAAAGAGCTTAATTGTGAGTTTTAGATTTGCATCATATTTTTATCGTTCTTAGAATTGGTGAATGTTCTTCATTGTGTGTTGACTATTACATCTGACAAGTTCAACACAATATTCAATCCATAGCTCAGAGATTGAACTGGATGACTAGTGGATGAGATGGGATTACTGGTGGAGAAGCAGATTCGTTAGGAGCAAAGTTTGTTGATAAGCGGATTGTGTGCTTGGAGAGTCAAGAAGAGTTCAGTGGATTGATCTGTGTCAAAGACGTAACTAGGGGTTTCTTGGGTTTTGGGAAACTGTAACCTAGTTTGTAATCCTTCTATCTCACAATATGTACTAGGTCCCATGGGTTCCATTTGGATTTCCACATAAAAAATCTATGTCCATTTTTATTTATTTATTTCTTTTATGTGTTTGTTGCGTGCATGAATCCCTCCCAGTTCTAGATCACGGGCCCTGAGCAATCAATTTGATCTTTAGAAACTTTAAATTTGCTACTTTTTTTGTTTTTGTTTTTTTGGCTTTAATCAGATTGATGTGCCTTTCTTGTCTAAAAGGCAAATTGCTTTCATGTTCTCCATTATTTTTTAGGTTCATCCTTCTCCCTACTTATAGATATGGTAATTTTTTATATATTATTATTAAGTATGAACCCATTCTTTCTCCTCTCTCCTAATGTTATGCTACTACTTTAAACAGGAGCATAACCATGTATGGGAAGACGGCGATGACAGGTAATTGTTTGTTCTTATATTGCTATAACGTTATACATTTATTTTGCTATAAAATTTTATGCGACTTCAGCTTTTGGTCATTCTTGCTTAACAATGTTTGTATTCACCTATATTACGTTCATCTCAGTTTGGAGATTAATTCATTATTCATTCTACTACATTTTATATTAGTACTAGTCTACTATAACAAGTTCATCATTCTACTACTACTACTACTGCATATAGAACAAGTTCATCTTCGTTTGGAGATGAATTCAATCATTCTTTCCACAATTCAAAACACAAGCGAGCAGAAGGAAATTGCAGACAAACCTTTTTTTTTCTTTCATAATTGGGTTTTGTATTAAAAGAAGGATAAAGCATTACAGCTCAAAACAGGAGGGCATACCCTCCAACTACAAGAACATCCAAGAAATAGGAAACATCCATTTCCAATTGGAATAGAACAAAACAGAAAAGGCCTAGCTAAACCCTCAAGATGGAGTGATTGGTTGGACTGGAATCGAAGCTGCATCAAGAATATTAAACCAAACTGATCTAGCAAGATCCGAGGGAGACCTTCAGTGGCCCTCTTGCAGCCTAGCATTCCTCTCTTTCCAAATTCCCCAAACAGCTGCAGAGAACACCATCAAAGGAACTTTCGACCTCACATTGGAAACAAACCAGTGCACCAATTGATCCAGATTAGAAAAAGAAGGCCAAGTCCACTATAACAGATTACAAAACCAAGACCACACAACATCAGCACAAGGGCATGAAGGAAATAGATGGTTTCCATCGTCACAAGCGCTGCCATGGTTCACACACACCTGCCAACTGGAAACCTCTTCTCTGCAAATTACAGAAATTAAGAACTTTATCCAACATCACCAAGCAAGAGGTAACTGAACACCTAGGTCGACCCCTCCAGGAAAGAGAACACCAAGGCATCAAAATATAAGAAGTTCTACATTTATTCCAACATGTTTTGAAAGAAAATTCACCATTATTCCAAATCCATCTATCAAGCCTAGGAGTGATATTGACACCCCTGCAAGAAGTCCTTCAATGGAAACAGAGCAGCAGACTCCAACAAGTTCAGATTCCAAGAACCATTCACCATAAGAAGCTCAAAGGAGCATCTCTACGAAGATGCAATTTGACTTCAATTAGAAAACTCTTGAGTTAAAAGCTTACCTTGAAACAGAGGGTCACCAAACCACTTAATTAATTGGCCATTACCAATTCTACAACTAGTATTAGCTTGCATGATATCCCTCACAGCCAACATATTCCTCCAAATGAATGGATTGGGACAAAGAGGGAACAGATAGCCAATAGGACACATTGGCAGTATATCTGGTCTTGAACCATGCCACCACAACTTATCTTTGGAATTTTAGAAATCCCAAACCAATTTACTATTGGCAGTGCACTCCAAATCAAGCAACCTTCTAATTCCAAAACCACCCTCACACTTGGTTTTGGTCACTTGATTCCAACTGAGAATAGCAAGCTTCATTTTATGTGCTGAACTGCCCCATAAAAAATCTGTACACATTCTCTGGAACTGAATTCCTAATAGCAGCAGGAATCTTGAGAGTGGAACAACAGAACATCAACAAAGGGGAGATGACAGATTTAAGTAACTCAATTCTCCCTACAGTGGATAAGGATTGAGAGCGCCAAGCGGAAAGTTTTGCCTCAATTTTGTCCCAAAGACTTCAACAAGTAGAACTCTTCAAACCATGACAATCAAGGGGATGTCCCAAATATTTGACAGGAAAAGAAGAATTGCACACTGAAAAATAGAGAAAATTAATCTTCTTATTATCACAGACTTAGAGAAGAACAGTTGAATCTTCTCCAATTTAATTACAAGACCAGAAACAGCTTCAAACTCCAGAAGAATGTTTTTGATAGTCATAGCAGCAGGAGAGGCTTGACAGACCATTAGAAGGTCATCAGCAAAGAAAATCTGGCACAAATCTGAATTAGCCTTAATTGCAGCCTTATAAGGCAAAACAGAACCATCCTCACTGCTGCAGCCACCATGGTAGAGAAATATTCTGTAATCAAGGTTAAAAGTAAGGGAGAAAGAGGACACCCTTGCCTCAAACCCGTCTGAGGCTGAAAGAAATCAGCAGGAGCCCCATTAATTAGAGTGGAGTACCTCACAGAGCACACACACTCCTTAACCAAAGCTATTCAAATGTCACCAAACCCATAGTTCTTCATAACAACCATCAAAAAATTCCAAGACACTGAGTCATAGACCTTACTAAGGTCTATCTTCATTGCCATAGAAGAGTGATTCAGATAGTTAAGTTTCTAATAAGTTTGTGGGCAAGAATAACGGCATCATGAAGTTTCCTACCCTTAACAAAAGCATTTTTTTTTCTTTCCATAACCCACCAAATCACTCAACACCGTACTCTTATCTATTTGCCAATATTTTAGCAATAATCGTGTAAACGAGGTTGCACAAAGCAATAGGTGATGGAGAATGGGGCATGGTCTGAAAGCTTGGAGTGCACATGTTCCGCTTTTACTATTGCAGATGTGGAAAAGAGAGATAGAATTAGAAATTTTTTTCTATTTGTTATTATTATTATTATTTTAGTAATATTTTAATTTAGGATATTTTCATAATATTGTATTTTAGGGTTTTATTTATGGTAATAGGTTTGAGTAGTGTATTCTTGATGCCTATTTATATGTGGGTTTGAGCACATTGTTAAGGGACATTTTTGTTGTCAGGGGGCTTATTTGTTATTACTTATATAATGTTGAAGTTTATGTGTAATTTCTGAAACTTGTTATTATAAATAGAATGTGGTGGAAGGATGAAAGTATTCTTTCATTCTTTCTCTCTTTCCCCATCTCTCTTTTTCTCTCATCCGCTTTCTTCTCTTCTTCTTCTTCTTTATCACTTACTCTTGATTTGATTATATGTTAAAGTCAACATGGTATCAGAGCATGGTTTGTAAAGCTCTAGGTGTGTAGTTGAAACCCTAGGTCAAGTTTGTGTAAACCCTAGTGGGTGTGAATGGTTTTGAACATATTCTAAGATAGGATTTGTTTGCAAGGAAGTAGTGTTAATCACATCCGCACGTACCGCGGATCTAGATTGGTGTTTTTCTTTTATCCTTTTTCTTCCTTGTTTTCGATCTATTGCAGTCTCGATTGGTGTTTTTTTACGTGTTCGCGTGGTTCTGTAACATCGGCTTTTTCTTCGTCGTTTGCGATTTTGGTATCGTCTACTTTGTTGCTTTCTAGGGTTTGTGTGGTGACTGCGTGGTTGCTATTTTATGCATCTCAGAAGACGATAATCTTTCTAGTTGAAGTTTGTGTGTTAGAGAGGTGGTTCTCTACGTATTTTGTTGTTGCTTTTGTTTCTGAGGATTGTATACCCAGAAACTGTTTGATAAAATGTCTGGCTCAGAGGTGACTTCAAAAGAAGTTGGGTCTTCTCCTAGTCAGACTCCAATATTAGGAGTTGTAGTGATCACCATCCAGGCCTTTGTATTATGACTGTTAGGTTGGATGAGACGAACTATATGGAGTGGGCTCATTCTGCTCGTATGCATATCACTGCTCGTAGGATGATCGACCATATCGAAGGGATTGTCACGTATCCGTCCAAGAGTGATCCTGAATTCAAAGAGTGGAGTGCAAATAATGCATTAGTTATGATGTCGTTGTTGGACTTGTTTTTTTATCTATTGCAGTCTCGATTGGTGTTTTTTCTTGTGCTCACGAGGTTCTGCAACAACAGCTTTTTCTTCGTCGTTCGCGATTCTAGTATGGTCTACTTTGTTGCTTTTTAGGGTTTGTGTGGTGACTGTGTGGTCGCTTTTTATGTATCTCAGAAGACAGTAATATTTCTAGTTGAAGTTTGTGTGTTAGAGAGGTGGTTCTTTATGTATTTTGTTGTTGCTTTTGTTTCTGAGGATTGTATACCCAGAAACTGTTTGATAAAATGTCTGGCTCAAAGGTGACTTCAAAAGAAGCTGGGTCTTCTCCTAATCTGACTCCAGTATTGGGAGGTAGTAGTGATCACCATTCATGCCTTTGTATTACGACTATTAGGTTGGATGAGACGAACTATATGGAGTGGGCTCAATTTGCTCGTATGCATATCACTGGTCATAGGATATTGACCATATCGAATGGACTGTCATGTATCCCTCTAAGAGCGATCTTGAATTCAAAGAGTGGAGTGCAAATAATGCACTAGTTATGACGTGGTTGTTGCAGTCAATGCAGCCACAGATTAGCAAAGGGTTTCTGTTTGTGAAAACAACTAAAGGGCTATGGACGGCTGTAGAAGAAACATATTCCTCGGTTGGCAATTTTGCAAAACTATATCAACTCCAACAACAGATTTCAAGATTCAAGCAGGAAGGCCAAACTCTTGTTACATATTACCACACTTTACGTGGTAAATGGGAAGAGTTAGATCACTACCAAGACTACATACCTGTGTGTGCAACTGATGTTAAAGCATTTCATGCTATGGTAGAAAGGAATCGAATCTATTAGTTCTTGGGTGGTCTGCATTCGAGATACGAGCATGCCAGCGTACAAGTGTTAGGCAGGTATCCAGCCTCTACTTCTGTCAGAGATGTGTTTTCGTATATCCAGACCGAGGAGAGTAGAGTGAAGGCTATGTCTGCACCTGTATACACTAAGCCTGAGCCAGAAGTACCATTGTTTGAGAGGTATGCTCTTGTCACACAACAATGGAATAAGCCCAATCCTCTAAAAAGAGGGAAGCAGGATGACAAAAGCAAGTTGAGGTGTGATCATTGTGGGCGTACATGCAACACTAGGGAAACATGTTAGAATCTACACGGTTACCCTACTCTAGCTCCTGCTAGGTCAAGGCCTTGTCCATTTGGGGGGTTATCTATGGCACATACTGCAGAGAGTGAGACTGCTAAGAAGAACTTTATACGTGTTCTTCTTTCTTTGGCAGCTAATTTGAATTGGCCCTTACATCAGCTGGATGTAAAGAA